CCCCTCCCCTCCCCTCCAAACCTCCCCCGTCTCCTGGTAACAGCAGGCGCCCGCCCACCTCAGGTGGAAACCCTGCCTCCACCCCCTCATCCTCCACTCTGGCCCCGCCCCCTCCGCCTTATCGCATCACTAACGGTCCGAGCAGTGGCGGCGAGCCGGCCCCTGAGCTGCCGCAGCGCCACAACTCACTTAGCAACAAGAGGACTGCCCCCTCTCCAGGAGGCCACACCCCCACCAGAGGCCCCGCCCCTCCACCGCCACCTGCATCACCCACCCCCTCCCAGCAGGGCGCCAACAGGCCACCGCCCCCTGTCAGAGAGCCACCAGGTCGAGGAGCAGGTGAGGGTTCAACACTCATTATATCATCATCAACACGCGAAAAACACATCTTTTAAAATAACGTCATCAGATTACACAGTACAAAGGCGCCAGTGAAAGACTCTAGGTGCATTATGGGAAATGTAGGATCCAGTGAGTTTCTGTCACAACCTTTCACAAGCCTTATTTTCTGTTTTTTTTGTTTACTTATTTTGAGGCAATTTTTTTAATATTTCTAATTTTATTTATATTATATTGAAGTTATTTTATATTTTTAATTGTGATATTCTAGAACTGTAGTAAAATTGATTTATTGCAGATTTTTAGTATGTCTAATAGATTATATAAATTATATGTATTGTATGTGTTATATTCATTTTTAAAATAGTTTTCAGTATAAAGTTATAGTTTATAGAAATTATTATTACTATACATTAATTTAATATGTATTTGTGCATTTAGATATTTTGTTTTAATTTTTTGTTTTTTAAAAATAATTTCTCTTATTTTTGATATCGCCTGTATTGATCAGCTGTATTGATGTGTTGATTTCCTCTCAGCTCCTCCTGTTCCGGTCCAGTCGTCGACGACGAGGGCGGGCGGCAGAGAAGCTCCGCCTCCTCCCCCCTACAGGACACATGGTAGCCCCTCCCTCTCCTCTGACCCCCCTACCAGAGGAAAGCCTCCACCCCCTCCCACCCGCACCCCCACTGCTCCTCCCCCGCCTCCGCCTCCCCTCCGCAACGGACACTCCTCCTCTTCCTCCTCCATCCCTCGCTCCTTTGTGGGTGAGTCAATGTCCCTCCGTCCGTCCATCATCAGAGTTTTATTGATTAACAAGCTGATTAGCTTTTCAATCAATCCATCACTTTTTTAATTGCAGTTTTATTGACAGAAAAACTTTAGGTAGCTAATATTTTGACTTCACGACTGAACTCACACAGCTTTTAATGACGTTAATTAAGCTTCTGTTCAGTGATGTTTTCTGGCCTCACCTTGAATGGTTTGACCTTTATTTGGCCTCAGCTGCGTCTCTTTGTGTTCATGGTTCATTCTTTCCTTCATCAGTCTGTTTGCTCCTCTTTCTCTCCTTTATTTGTCAAACTGTAAATGTCAAGACACATTTGAGTTTGATGGAAAACTACAAGTTGATTTTGTCGCTGCATCCTGATCTGATATGAAGTGTTTTGGTTCAATGAGAGAAATTGTGCCTCCTCCTGCAGATGATTTTGAGTCCAAGTATTCGTTTCATCCTCTGGACGACTTCCCTCCTCCAGACGAGTACAGACATTTCACCAAGATCTACCCCAGCAAGGCCAACAGAGGTACTGCGTTCGTTTACATGTTGTCGTGTTTTTAATGTGCTTCTTAATATTTTTTTTAATACATGTGTGGTATAAGAATGTTTTAACAAATAGTTGTTTTTTATTTTAGCCCACTGTTGTTCTTGTTAACATTCATTATTCTTTGTAAATTACAAAATCACATGAACTGAGAAGAAGGTCGTGCATGTCAGATAATGTGTTGTAGCTGTAGTTCCTGGTTGTTCCACCAGGCGGAGCCTCTGACTGTTGTTGTTGATGATTGAGCTGTTTGTTTGTTTGTTAGTTTCAGTGATGAGAGGAGCTCCTCCACTGCCACCTGTCGGCAGGTGAACCAGGAAGAACAGCACACACCTGGAAAACACACACACATACACACCTACACTTACACACACACACACACACACACACACACACACACACACACACCATCCCGTTGGACGTCTTTGGCTTCGTCATCCTCGCCTTCTCCATCGCCGCCTCATCTGCGCTCACAGCTGATTGGCTGAGGAGAGGGGCAGACCGACCAATCAGAGAGAGACGGGCGATTTCAAGGACCAGGAAGTAGGAAGTGACTTAAGAGACGAACAGTGAAGCGAAGAACCTCCTCTGTCACCTGCTGGTTTCACGTCTTAGTTTGCACCTGCACTTTTTGTTTTTACACACGTGAAGCCGCTGCAGAGAAACAACACGGATGTTCCGCCTGAACACGTGAAGAAGAAGCGTTTGTGTTCTGCTCAGAGAAAACAAGTTTCCCGACGAAGTGAAGCAGAATTGAACAGACAATAACTGATCTTGACACTTAAAGCAGCAGTTCAACATTTTGTGGAAATTTTGAACGTAAATCGATCAAGAGGAGTTAATCAGCAGCTGTTCTGATAATCGATTGAAGTTGTTCTATATCCTGATGAGACCTGATGGAAACAATGATCATCAGTTAATACAGCAGAAAGGTTCCATTTACTTTACAAAATGTGGAACTGCTCCTGTAATGATCAGAACTTGGAGGTCATGAGAAACTGCAGAGACCTGGACCTGGACCTGGTTCTGGATCTTGAAGGTCCATAAACTGAAATCAGGCCCCGTGGCTTCGTGTTTTAGAGTTCGAGGATGAAAACACTGTAAATACTCACCTGCTTCTTCGTTAACATCGCTTAACACACCTGTCCTGGTGATGTCATCAGGGTGACCTCCAGCAGGCAGATGTCAGGTTCTGAGCAGGGCGGGTCTTAAAGTGCCAACACGGACTGAAGTGAGCCAGAGAAGCCCACCTGAGGTCACCTGAGGTCACATGACTCCTCCTGCTTCAGTGGATCGTACCATGTTGGTGAATTGTAGGGGAGTGATGGGACAAACCATCAGAGTCAAACTGAAAGTCTTCCACCTGCAGCGACGACAAACAGAACTTAGTGTCAACTTTATTTCAGCGTTTTGTGTATGTGTGTGTGTGCGTACGTGCGTGCGTGCGTGCGTGCTTGTGTGTGTGTATGTGTGTGTGTGTCCCTTCTCTACATGCAGTGTTAAATAATTTCCCATGATTCTCAGCTGTTTAAGCAGAAAAGCAGCAGCAGGGGTTTCAGAAGTGAATCAGAGTATTTTCTGATCAAACACTTCGGTTACATGAGTAGATCATCAGATTCATCAATAAGTTGAAGTATTAAAATGTCTTTTTCATTCTCAGACTTTCAGGAGATCAAGTTTGATTTATCGAGAATAAAATCTCAATGTTGAGAGTTAAAAGTCACATTTCAGAAAAATGCTGTTGATTTATGTTAAAAAGAGTAAAGAGAAAACTAATTAAACAATAATTAATGTTATAGGAAAAATCATTTGACATGTAAAAAGTCACAAAAGTTGGAAAAACTGATTTCAGGAAAGTTTCAAACATTTTCAGACCAAACTGATGTTTTTAGTTTCAGTGTCATAATTTTACAAATGACTAAAACCACAACAACAAAATGTCAGAGTAATTTTACTAATTAAAAAACAAGGAGTCACAATATTAAGAGTAAATTGTGAAATAAATCCAAGTGTTACGACAAAAGTTGTAAAAAAAAAAGAATCAAAATGCTGCAACTTTTTCTCCTAAAACTAAATCTTTATTATTCAAATCGTGATTTTGGGGGTTTAAAATTTAAGACTTTAAAAACAAAGCAAAAAAAAAAGCATTTACTTTATTTATACATAGTTTTTTTTAATGATAATGTGACTCATCAGAAATTTAAACATTTCAATGTAGACTTTTCTCTGTAATATTTAATTTTTGCGCTCACTTTTCCCTCAACATTGACTTTATCTGAAGTTGGTTTAGTTTTATTCTCTTAATGTTGTGACTTTTTGTATTTTAAGATTGATTTTTGTAGATTTCTGACTTTTGTCAGTGTTATTTTCATGATAACGTGACTTATCATGAGTTTAAATTTAGACTTTTCTTTAATAATACTTGAAACTTTTTTGGGTAATTATTGTAATATAATAATTTGTATTATCATTATCTTTCTCATAATGTGACTTTTTTTCTCAACATTGACTTTCTGGATTAATTTCCGCCTAATTCTCATCGTGTTTTGACTTTTTGTTAAAATTAATGCGATCAAACATTCACATTTTTTAAATGAATTAAGACTTTTTCTCTTGTCAAAGTGACTTTTTTGTGATTAATAAACTTTATTCTCACAATATTCTGACTTTTTTCAAATGAAAACTTCCATAACATTTCTTGTTATTCTTATAATGTGAATTTTTTCGTAACATCTAGTTTTTTAAATTAAGACTTTTCTCTTGATGTTTATTTAAAAAGAGTTTTCCATCAACATTTCCACTCATCTGACATATTTTCTCTTCTGTTCTCACGTTGTTGTTGCCTTCTTTATTAAAATGAGGACGTTTTTCTGTACATTTGACAGTTTTATTTTTTTTTTATTTTCTGCTCAGACGTCTCATCACTTCGTCTTCTTCGTTTCTCAGCTGATAAAATGGACGTTTTCTCTCTCAGTGCTGCTGCTTCTTCTTCTCTGCATGTACGACTGCATCCATGATTTTCATTTAGAGATTTAAATCATGTGATTGAGCACTTTTCTCTTGTTTTACTGAAAAAAAAAATGATTCCAGGTTTGAAAAAAACATGTCTGTTTGTCATTTTCCTGCTCAGCTGAAACAGACTGTTTAATGTTGTTTATTCTCTGATGTGGATCTGCTCTTGTTCTTCTTCTACTTCTTCTATTTCTTCTTCTTCTTCTTCTCTCAAACTGTTGTCTTTCTTCTTCTTCTCTGGATCTGCTGCTTCAGTTGCAGTTAAAGATGCATCACGTCTGACGCTTCCTCCTTTTTTGTTTATTTCTAGATCTTCCTACCAGACTCCATTTAAAATCTGATCGATTGTATGTTGTGAAGCTCCTGAGCAGACAACAGGACCTTCATAGCTATTTGCCACCAGACTCCATTTAAAAACCTTCTAATTTTACGTGGTGTCGCTGAGGAGCAGTTGTACTTGTGTCGGAGCATCTGTAAAAACCAGCCGTGGCTCTTGTTGCGCTTGTGCAGGTGATGCATCTTTACCTGCAGAGTTAAATGCCCCCCTCCCCCCCTCCACGCCTCGTCTGTTTGCCTTACAAACTGTTTGCTGTAAATCTCGTCAGTTAGAATCTGTACAAAGCTACTAAAACACTGGGAAATGTGTTACTGGCTGTTTAAGGTGACTTATGTGCTGCAGCGACTGCAGTGACGAATGCGTCCTGCAGCTTTTCTCTGCAGTTGCAACTGATGCTGTGTTTCAGTCCCAGTCTAACAGCATGCTCTGAAATAAACTCATCAGTGACTGTCTCCTCTGTTTGCTCTCTTGTGTATTTATGAACATGTCCTAAACGGTGTACAACTGTGCAGCTGTGATCAGGGTTCAGTGTTTGTAGAATTTTACCTCCTGCTGCTGAATGAACTCACTGTGAAGAGCAATACAGTGAAGCAGCTGTAAAATATAAAAAATGTTCACAGACAGATTTGCTTACAGCTACATTAGTGTTAGAAACGATCACAGTGATTCTACGTATTCATTTTAAATTACTCTTAAGCTTCAGATGTATGAGGTCAAATGTACGAGATTAAAAAGAACTAATTTTGACTTTCCATTAACATGTTCATTTACTAATTGTAATATTTTTGGGAAATATTTTCTGTCAGTCATGTAGATGATTATTGTGTTTTAATTACTTATAAATTATCTCAAATATATATATTTTAGTATAAAATAAAGTAATATTTTGGGGGGTTTACCTGTATTTTTGAATAAATCTGGTAAATTTTCATAATACTGTATGGCCTTTGCACAAATAATAAAATTGATAAAATAACAATAATAATAATAATATATATTTTTTAATGGACAGGTAAATTGAATTTTTTCTATTGTATTTATTGTTAATATTGGATTTTAATCTTATTTTTTGTATAGGGGTGAATGAGGTTAATGTTTGTTTATTTATTTATTGATAATATTGTAGCGTGATAACCTTAATATTTAAACTCATTAGGTAAATGTGTATATTATATTATTTTGTGTGGTTGGAACCAGAATAATTCTATTAGTTAGGTAAATAATTATTGCAGTAGTAGTACACCTTTTGGTTCTGTTTGGCTTCACATCTGTTGTTTTAAATGTTCTGTGTAAATCACAAGGGAGAAACTACAAATAGTTTAATTTCATAAATAACTGTATGAAGTAAAAGTGTAAAAGTATGTTTCATTTATTGGTAGCGTTCATCAGTTATGTCAGAGCCAATAATTTGCATATTCATATCTAAAAAGCAGCGCGCTGCGTTTGCACGTCTGACCAGCAGGCGGCGGACTGTTGTTATTGTTCTTCCTGGTTCAGAGGTCACCAATGAACACGTGATCCCACAGGTATCTCTCTGCGCATGTGCGAACAGTTCCTGCTGCATGTCGACAGAAAACATTCGATTGAACCGAGCTCACGTGTTCGTTCGGCGGCGTTAAATTCGTGTTTTTCTGCGGAGCAACATGGAGGACGTGAACGTTATCAAGCTGCCGGAGACGGAGGACAGAACACCGGCCAAGAAAAGAGCCAGACCGCCGCAGTTCGACCCCGAGAGAGAAGAACAGGACCGGCAGACGAACGTGAAGAGGCTGGCGGTGCTGGGGGAGACGGACGGCTCGGTGAAGCTGCTGGAGGAGCTGGTGTTCGGGGCGGAGGAAGAGCTGCTGGAGAGGCTCGTGGAGGTAACGTTCTCACCAGACCCCGTTCAACAATCTGATAATTTAACGTTCTCTTAGTGATGGACTGAAGAATCTGTGTCCTACAACTGAAGTTCACAGGTTGTCATGATTTGTGGTTACTGATGGCAAATTCGGCTTCTGGCTTTCTGCTGACAACACGTTACCTGAGTGAGAGGACACAGAAAATACTGTTCATCCAAAGGAATTGCCATTATAAAATATTACTAATTTAATCTTCTCCTGCTCATAAACAGCAATGTTTGAGTCTGAAATCAAAGTTTGATGCACTGTAGGAGTTTTTGATCTGTTCTGCTAAATCCGGCTCAGTAATTATCACTAAAAGTGCATTTTGATGCATAATGGCAGTGAAATGTTGCATTATGGAAGTTTCAAAACAAGTAAAGGCTTTTGCAGGGTTTCTGTCTCACTGATAAAAGTTTAAAGTTTTGAATTTGTGCTGAAACACTGAATGTGTTGTTCTGCTCGAAGGATTTCACTGCTTACAAGCTCATACGTGTAACTTGCACACTTTTTAAATGGAGTTTGGTGTTGTTGTCCAGCAGGAGGATGAGGACCAGACTGGAACTCTGCTGCTGCAGGACGAAGACGAAGAGTCCGAGGATGAAGCTCCTCAGCAGCAGCAGCCGGTCAAAAAAGCTGCCTGGGTGGACGAAGACGACGAGCTGGACGAAGAGTGAGTCTGTGGTGAAACACCTGCAGCCTCTGTTACCATGACAACACTAACATCACTTGTGTTTCAGGGTGGACATGAGGCATCGTTACCGTAGAAACCTGATGAGGGGAGAGGCCGAGTCGACCATGTCCAAACAGAAACTACAGCAGAGGATGAGGGAGCAGTGAGTGCACACACCTGAGCACACACCTGAAAATGCTTACCAGAATCCACCGTTGCACTCATGTGCATACGGGTGCAAAACATTGAACTACACACACATACCTGAATACATCTGCACACACATTTTCCTGAGCACATTTACCTGCACACCAAAATACGCCGATACACAACATTGCTTTACATCTTCACACCTGTATACACACACTTTGCATTTATAAAACGCGTGTCCCTGAACATGTTTACCTGCCACACACACCTGAGCACACATTTACCACACTCCCTCCTGTACACACATGTTGTACTGACTGTGGTGCGTTTCAGGTTCCAGAAGGCGATGGGGGGAACACCATCATGGGCAGAGAGTGGTGCCCAGAAGAAAAAGAAGAAGAAGAAGAAGAAAGGTGGAGTCACAACCTCAAACACTTTCCTGTTTGTTTGGTTGAATCTTCTGTCTAAACTGTGTGTTATTGTTTCTGAAGCTGCTGATGAAGAAGATGACGACGATGATGATGAAGACGATGAAGATGACCTGCTGAGGAGGACGGGAAACTTTGTGGCGTCTTCAGAGAGTCTGCCCAGCGGCATCCTGAGGGTCAGTGAGTCCCCTCAGTGCAGCACCTGAGTGTCATGTTCACTGCAGAACATTATATTCTGTCAGCAGAAGATGATGAAGAGTTCATCAGTCAGCTCAGTTAACATAAGAACCAGAACACGAAGATGACAAACATTTTGCACAGCAACGTCCTTTGTTCAGATTTTCATCAACTGTTATTTCTAACCTTGAACTATGTTCTGTGAAAAGATTTTAGCAGAATTTTGAGAATTTCATGTTTTCAGACCTGAGATTTCTTCTGTTTTCACCCTCACCCTATAAAGGCAGCCTTGTAATACCACCAAAACTTGAACAATTTGTCAATTATCAAGGTCCAGTAATTAAAAATGTGTCCTCTGTTGGAGCCATTCAGTCATGACGATCTGCTGGAAACTATTCTGTCCTCAGCATATTTCATGTTTGTGGGAGTTTTATTTGTGGAAATACTGAACCCCGAAAATTCCTTCATAAAATTCTCAGGTCTGAAAACATGACATTTTAAAAATTTTGTCAAAACATTTTACAGAACTTAGTTTTGGGTCTCACATACAGAAATATATAAACGCTAAACAGAATCTGGGATACTGCAGGAACATTTCAGCTGAATTCTGTATCTGTATCTGAGCTGACTGAACCTCCTGCTGGTATGAAGTCGTTTTCCAGGAGAGGTTTTCAGCTTGTGACCAAGATTTTTTAAAAAAACAGCCATATTGATCCTCAAGGGAATTCTTGTTTCAGACGTTGCTCCGAAAAGAAACAAAATTTGATGACATGAGAATAAATACAAGGTTCAGTCGAAAAAAAAAAAAGATATAGAAGATCTGACAAACTCTCCGGAAAACTGCAGAAAAGCAGCGACGAGCCAAAACTTCCACAAAGAATCAGAACCGCTTCAGCTGAGAAACAAACTGTGTGGGGCCAAAGTGATCTCTGAAGTGAGCAAAGTTCTTGCGTTCTGTCCCTCAGATGAAGAAGTGTCTTCATGCTAACAGCGCTCGGCCATCAGAGGACAGACTGACCACCGTCCAGTTCCACCCCTCAGCTCAGGTCGTCATGACCGCCGGCCTCGACCAGTCCGTCTGCCTCTTCCAGGTACCGCCAGCCTCCTCAGACCTCCAGCAGGCTCCTGATTGGTGGAGACGATCGCCTGACTTGAATCTGTTTCTTCTGCAGGTGGACGGAAAGACAAACCCGAAGATCCAGAGCATCCACCTGGAGCGCTTCCCCGTCCACAAGGCTCAGTTCAGCCGCGACGGAGAGGTCGTCATCGCCACGAGTTTCAGGAACAAGATGTTCTACCTGTACGACATGATGGAGGGCCGAGTCACGCCTGTTCACACCGTCAGAGGTCAGAGCTGCTACCAGCCTTTAACCGCTTAAAAAAAACAGAGACTAAGGACAAAGTTTGATGCTGAATAAGAGTTTTAAGGCCTTTATGGGTAATCCAGCTCCTCACAAATTCTCCTCCAGGCATGTTTGCCAGTATTTAAACAAACAAACAAAACTAATTTGATGTTTTCTTTCTCAGAAGTGGTAGAAGTTGTGTCTGAGAACAAAATATTACACTTTGTATCAAATTAAACTGACTTAAAGGTTTGCTTCAGTCTGTTCTCTACCAGACTCCCTTTAAAATACGACTAATTGAATCTTCTCTTGCTCATAAACAACAACGTCTGAGTCTGAAATCAAAGTTTGATGCATAACAAGAGTTACAGAATAGCACTGAATATACAGAATGTTATAATGATGTATAGAACAGTGTGAATAAGCTGGAACAGGCTTGAATCACTCATCAGTCAGATCATTACTGAACCTCCTGCAGTCCTTCAGCTGCTGCAAACACAGCAACACTTTAAACTGGTAATAATTATAGTTATAACAGTCGTGTTAACTTGAAAAAATCCATTTATTCACAACGTTTTGTTGCAAATAATTGGAGTTTTGAACGTTAGACAGTGTGTGGAAGAGAAGTGGAAAGAGAAAATAACCTTAAATTGTTTAACAACAATGTAAAGAAGCTGTTTGCCTTCATTCTTCTTCCCTATGGCTCATTTTTCACTGCAATAAAAAGTCCTGCACCTCCTTGAAAACAGAACAACCACAAAGAAGGAAGAGAGAACTCAGAAATGTCTTCTGTCAGGATGACTCAGTTATAAAATCATTTCCAAAAGTTTCAAGAAGACTCTCAGACTTTCTGACAGTCTGCCTGACTTGCAGAAATCCATTTATTTGCGACGAAAGGATAAATCTTAAAAATAGATCAAACTAATAGATGCTTAACATATAAACCTGCGATAACTGTTGAAATTCTAGTTGGGTTTGTTTTCACATGATCAGCTGTAGGAAGATGCTTCACCATGCTGAATGTTTCTTCAACGATTTGCTCCTCCGTAAACTGTTTTGGAGAATTTTTGTCACGTGACTGTTGGTCGCAGCTGAGAGGAGCTCCTCAGATGGTTGAGCTTGGTCTGCTTGCTGTTGTTCAGGTCTGAATGAAGCCCGGGTGAAGGAGTTCTCAGTGTGTCCTGAAGGAGACGCCCTGCTGCTCACTGGGACTCGTGGATACCTGCACCTGCTCACACTAAAGGTAACTCTCCTTCTTCTTATTCTGCTGCTGCTGCCGCCAGAGGCCTGAAGAACCCAGTTTCTGCTACTCCATCATCTGTCTTTAAGCTTTAATAACCTGGAAAATTTCTCACGTAGTAACAGATCATTTCTGTGGGTCTGTTGTTTTAACAAGAAGAGAAAAAGACCATTAAAACGTTACAAAATGCAGCTTTACATTGTCAGAATTAGGTCTTGTTGCACTGCTGTTAAAAAAAACTGTGTAGCTGAACCTTGTAGTCTGTGAAGATTCTCAGTCATCCAGGTCATGCTTCTTCTCGTAGATTAATCGTAACAACTGGACTTGCTTGAGTTCCTTGAAGACGTTCCACCTCTCATCCAAGAGGCTTCATCAGTTCTGACTGACTAGTTGGGAGTTCCAGATACTTTTATCCTTAAGGAGCCATTAACACCTGAGTTTCTGTTTCAGTTAAGGGTTTGTTGCTCCTTCCCCTCGACATGACAGATGGCTTGAGAGAGGGGTGAAAGAAGCCATCTATGTCAAACTGGAAAGACCATCCCTCAACAGAGGTGGAGGTCTGAGGCATCACCTCTCACCTGTTTACAATCCAGTCCTAAGATCTCTCCCCAGGAAGATGAAACCACATTCACACCTAGCCACAAAAGATCTTTATGAAGCCCTTTGGGGGGAGCACTAAGGACTCGCATAACGAGGGGGAGGAGTAACTACCCCCAATTGAAACCGAAACTCAGATGTTAATGACCCCTTAAGGATAAAAGTATCTGGAACTCCCAACTAGTCAGTCAGACCTGATGAAGCCTCTGAACTTTGTTCATTTAAAATAACAACTTCCACTGGGAAAATGTGTATTTTTAATATGTTTTACGCCACATAGTGTTTTTAGATGTGACTGAATCAGAAAAACCTAAAACGTGTCATATTTTAAATAAATCTCAAAATCGATCAGTTTTGTGTTTATATGATTAGAAAAATCAGTTGGAATGAATGAAGCGTGAGCTACAATGATGATGTGATAAGAAAGCAGAAAGTTAAAGAACAAAAATCAAAGTTTTGAGCTGCTTTTCAGTGTGAAGGACGACTTGAAAAAGACTTTAGGAAGGTAAAATCTGACAATTAAATCTTGAAACAAACTGTGTATGTTCAGACGAAGGAGGTGGTTCGCAGTGTGAAGATCAACGGTGACGTCAGCGGCGTCGCACTTTCTCCTGACGGCAGCAAAATCTTCGCAAACTCAGGTGAGAGCAGGAGAGAACAAATGTACAGGTAAAAGTCCTGCATTCAAATGTTTACTGATGTAAAAGTATGAAAGTATCAGCATCAAAATAATGCAGCACATTGTGTATTATGCTGCAACTACAAAAAGTATTCACCCACCTTTGGAAGATTTTTCCTTTTGATTGCTTTTCAACGTTAAATCATGGATCCAGAACTCTGAACAGAAGCTTCTTCAGAGGAGGTTGTAGAATGTAACGCTATGATTATAGCTGTAGCATCAGTTACCGTGGTGATGTAGCTCTGTGGGATGAGTTGCCATGGTGATGTAACTGCAGCATCAGTTGCCGTGGTGATGTAGCAGGTTAAAACAGAACCTCCTTCATCACATTGAAAACTCTTCTGTGTGTGTGTCTGTGTGTGCGTGCAGAGGAGGGGGAGGTGTATGTGTTTGATTTGCGCAGCAGTCGGTGTGTCAACAAGTTCTCAGATGACGGCTGTGTGAGGGCGTCGTCTATCGCTGCATCTCGTAACGGACAGTACCTGGCTTGTGGGTAAGACACACCCACGTGACCATCCCGCTCTCTGATTGGCTGACAGCTGCCTGTCTTGTTTATCTTATTTGTTTGGTTTGTTCAGCATTGACTTCCTGTCTGTGTGTCAGCTCTCAGTCAGGTGTGGTCAACATCTACTCCCAGGAGGCGTGTCTTAACTCAGCCAATCCGAAGCCCCTGAAAGCCGTAATGAACCTGCTGACCTCAGCGACCGCCCTCGCCTTCAACCCTTCATCTGAGATCCTCGCTATCGCCTCCAGGGCCGAGGACGAAGCTGCACGGCTGGTGAGACAGCAGTGATGACGTTGATGATGATGATGATAGCGATGATGAAGAGCACTAATCCTCACCTGTCTCCTCAGGTACACCTGCCCAGCCTCACCGTCTTCTCCAATTTCCCCGTCGCTAAGAGGAAGATCGTCTACCGAACCAGCTGCCTAGACTTCTCCCCAAACAGCGGCTTCTTCTCATTGGCTAACAACAAAGGCCAAGCCCCCCTGTTCAGGTGAGACAGCCAATCACTGCCTGTGTTTATCCTAAGGCTAAACCATTAGCATTTAGCTCCATTATCCATCATCAAATGTGTTACATTAGCAACTGTTAGCACGATACAACTATACACAAAACTACTACAATGAGGCACAAAACGACCACAACGGTACACAAACTGACTACAAAGGGACACAAAAGTTGCAGGTACTGATGATGTGGTTGTTTTGTCCTCGTGTATCTGAATCTGTCTGCGGAACAAATACAAGTTTGTATCGATGTAGTGATGTGTGATGCAACAGACACACAGTGACCTTGTATCATGTTGTGTTTTTGTGCAGGTTGCTGCATTACAAAGACTTCTGAGGAGCAGCTGTGGAGGAGCTTTGTGTAAATACTGTGATGAGGAGTTAAAACAGTGAAAGTTTGAATGGAGTCTGGCTCAGAGCCGAACACACCGAAGATCCTCAGAACAAACTCACATGTTGACTTTTATTGTTTGTATGATCTCATAAAAGAATGAAACTGAATTATGTGTTTTTTTTCTGTTTGTACTCAAATAGTAACTTCAAACATTTCAGATTTTTTAAAGTAAAGTGTCTTAAGCTGATTTAACTCTCCTGCTGTCTCATTTAACCTAAAAATCAAACATGGGACTGATCTCAATCACAAGTTTCACTCAGTTTCATATTTGACTTGAAAACTGCCTGTAAGGATTGGATTTTAACATAGCTGTCATCCGTTGAACTTTATTTTTATTTATTTGTTTTCTTTTATTTTTTGAGGAGCACAGTTTTCTTTTGCTCCTAAACAATGTAATTGTTCATATTTATTCATTCATGTTCTCAGACAGGCAGCAACAACATCAGGACAGGTTGAAACCAGTGAAGTCAAACGTCAAAACAAAATTAAAAACATCATTTGGATGTTTTACCTTCGTTTCACCAGCAGCTTGTTTTTGTCACTGATGAGCCTCCGCACAGGTGAACACAGGTGTGTCTTGAAGCCACAGCAGTTACACAACTCACAGGCTGAACCAGCCAATCAGGTGGCAGGAATTCAAACCGCCAAACTGGATCCAACACACACACACACAGAGCAGCAGGAATGTCCTCTGTCCGGTCGGTCCATCTGTCAGGTTGAAGCAAGACAAACATTCTTTCCTCCCAGTGATCAGCTTCAACCGTCATCATCATCTGCGTGGACCTGCAGCAGGTCGGAGGTCGTCCACTCTGAGGACACGTTCACTGAACCTCGTTGAAAATTAAGCTTCTCAGAGTTCATCGCTGTTAACATTTTATTCTTCATTATAACGTTTAGATTCTTCTTGTATTTATGTGTTTTTCATGTGAAGATTTATTTATGGGATATTATTTCACGTCCCGGTGAGGACACCTGGGATCTGGGTCCTCCAGCTTCCTCCCACACAGTCCAAAAACATGTTGAGGTTAATTGGTGATTCTAAATTGTCTGTAGGTGTAAATGTGAGTGTGCTTGGTTGTCTGTCTCTAAGTGTAGCCCTGTGATAGACTGGTGACCTGTCCAGGGTGTCTCCTGCCTTCACCCTGAGCCAGCTGGGATTTAGCTGACTTAGCTGATTTATTCTCCACATACATACATAATGTTTTATTCTTGCATAAAACATTCCAATTTAAATTTGTACAATTTATATCATATTTTACATTTTTAAAAAAAAAAAAAAACCTTTATTTTAATATTATTTTAGTTTTCACTGCAGTTTATCATTAAAATTTTTATTTAATTTTACATTTATTTTAGAGGTCACATGTCTTTATGTGTTTTCATATATGCATACGTGTGTGTTATAGCGATGAACATAAAATTTAATAGAAATTCCAATAAAAAGTTAGGATAACTAAAACTAAAATAAATGGTTTAATATAATATTTTTTTTTAATTACACTAATTTCTTAAATTTTGTCTTCATGTATTTTTTGTGTTGTTTTTATATTCATTTTAATCATATTTTTTCTATTTGAATTTATTTCATACATATTTAGATTTCCTATTGTGTAAAAGTTTAATGTTTTATTTTGTTTATTGTTTATTTTCCTTGATTTTTATTGAGTATCTGAGGTTTCTTAGGTTTGAAGAAAAAACTAAACACAAAAATTAAACATGCATTTAAAAGATTTTAGTTTTTTAACCACAATAAATAAATAATTTCTGTTGATTAAAGTCACATTTCTGTCTTTCATTCTTTTTTTAAAAACATTTTTTTTTTATTTTGGAACAGCAGTTTGTATTACAGAGCATAGCATACACATAACAAAAGCAGTTTTAAACCCACTACCATCCACATATTTTATAAGTAAAGATAAATTTCTAAGCAAATATGGGAACATTTTATTAACAGTACTTTTAAAATCCGGCAGTTTTTAGTCAAAGTCTAAATGAGAGATGAAACATGACCATAAAGGGAAAATTAATTTCTGATTTTCTGACCAGATTCACAGTTTACATGTTTAAACTGAGGTTAAAAGTGATTTGCAGCAGCAGGATCACAAACTTCTCCACCTTCAAACTCACCTGACAGCTTTGGGCACCTGTCGGCTCCGCCCACTGATGACATTACGGCTGGACAGGAACCTGAGTTTCAGGATTTGTGACAGAAACAGGTCGACGACTCACACTGAGGAAGGTAAGAAACTGCTGCAGCTTTTTGCTTCATGTCAAAGATTTTACTTTGATTGCTGATTTTAAATTGATTTCACACAAAGTCTTGGGTCTGAATCTGATTTTACACCATGAAGGCAGAAATCAGCTGTTTTTGATCTGATCAAACCAGACGCCTGCTTCACAAACTGAGCTGAAGGTCTCAGGGTGGAAGTTTAGAGGATTTCAGTTTGATGTGACGGTTACTGTTCATGAATGTTGTCTGCTTTTAATATTTAATGGATAAAATCTACATGCAATAACCCAGAATGACAGACAAGTTTTAAAATGACAAACTGAAGTCACCTTTAATCGAAGTGTTCAGACTCTTTACTGTGACTCCAAACTGAGATCAGCTGCTACAGATTGATCACTGACTGAGTCCACCTGAGACGAACCGTCCTGATTGGACGGAGACAGACACACCTGTGAATCCACAGTTTAGTCTGCAGGTGAAAACTCAGATCAAACTGAGAGATGCCTGAAAACTAGAACAGGAAGCAGAAAGAGGAACATCTGTCCTTAGTGATGCATCAGCTGGATGAATAAAACACACAGTCAGACTGTGTTTAACGCTCTGAACTCCAGGCAGTCGTTTCTGTGTGTTTTTTCCTCACTGTGGCTTATTTTTCACTGCAACATAAAGTCCTGCATCTCAGTGGAAACAGAACAACCATGAAGGAGGAGAGAGAACTCAGAAATGTCTGCTGCCACTATGACACAGTTAGAATGACAGAAATCATTTGAAAGGTTTACTTTCCTTTATTTAATTCAGAAAATAGAAAAACCGAGAATCAACATGTCCAACATGTTTCCAAGTGTCCAAACTCTGAGACAACTTGGTCTTGTTATTGTAGTTTTGTGTCTCGTTTTACTTATTTTGTGTCTTACTTGGTCTTTTTATGTCTCTTTGTGGTCATTTCATGGTTCTTTTGGACTTTTTGTTCCTTTGTGATCAGCTTCTGTCTTGGTTGTGTCGTTCTGTGTCTTTTTTGGAGGAGGTTGTTCTGTTTCTGTTGATTTGTGTCTTGTTTTTTTTCCTTTTTTAGGTCTAGTTTTTGTTGTTTTCTGTCTTATTTTTGTAATTTTTAAAAAATCTCCTTTTGGGATTTTGTGCCCCGTTTTCTTTGTTTTGTGCATTTTGTCAAAACATTTTATGGCTATGTAACTATTTCTGTTATTACAACCGCTACAGGCTGAGAGCAGTTTTGTCTCCTTTCTGCTGTTTTGTGTCTCGTTTTGGTTGTTTTGTGATTCTTTGGAAAAGTTTTGTCTCTTTGTGGTCATTTTGTGTCTCCTTTTTTTTTCTCTTCATCATTATCTTTGTCTTGTCATTTCTTGTTTTGTTGCTCTTATTTTGTTCATTTCGTGTCTCATTTTTCCTCCTTTGTGTTGTCTTGTCTCCTCATACTATGGGTACTTCACTATTTCCATGTTTACAGCCTCTACAAACCTTTTCTCTCCTCTGCACAACAGCTGTAGAAAGATGCTTCACAATGCTGAATGAAAGATTCTAAACTGAAGCCCATCAGCTGTGCTGCATGGAAGTGGCAGCATCATGCTGGTCAGAAATGACTGAAGGCTGAGAGGAGATAAACTTGAGTAAAACCAGATGTGCAGAGTCTGAAACAAGCAGAGTGAAAACTGCTGCCAAAGAATGCTCCACAAAGTCCTGAATTAAGAGTCTGAATACTTTCCGAAGAGATATGTTTGTGATTTTTTTAACAAACAACAAAAACAGTAATTTTTTTATCAATTTAAAGTGAAATCTGCAGCACTGTAAGTTAAAGGTCTTCATGCTTTCTGAATCTATTCATAATATAATTTTTATAATAATATGTATCAAACTTTTAACTCTTCACCTCATAATTTGCTCCTAAAACACAATTTTGACTTTTTGTGTTAATTCTGACTTAATATCTCACAGTTTTGCCAATCCAAGACAATAATCCCAGATGAGGTTTTTCATTTTGACCAACTGTTGTATACTTTTTATTTATATCTATTTTTATTTTGTTAACCAAATGGTGAGTTTTAGCTGTTGGAAGACACATAATAACTCAGAGTTTTTACTTAAGAAGCATAAATTTGACTCAGATTTAGAATCTAAATTTATAGTACGAATAAATGAAACTTGATTTTATGGATGTAACACCAAACGACAATGTGTCATCACTGGGCTCCACGTAGTGAGATCTTCCACTACACTGCACAATTCTGTCTCAACTGAACTGAACAGTGATGCAAACAAATCCATAATAAACCAGACTCTGTAGATCCTCATTTAATGGGGGAACAAAGATCCCTGCAGGTCCAAAGGTTCCTGGGAAGTTGCCTCCTGGTTGATTCAGCTTTGGACAGATGAGATGAAGGCTCATTTGTGCTATATGCTAACTAAAGCTAACAGTATTAGTGCATTTTATACAGTCACCGTGGTGACATCAGACCACTGAATTAGATAAATTGTGATTTCATGTTAGTCTCCTGTTAGCCTTCAACTGACCTCCTGTTAGTCTTGTGTTAGCTTTCTGTTTGCCGCCTTTTAGTCCCGTGTTAGCCTCCTTTAGCTTTCTGCTAGCCTCCTTTTAGCCTTGTTCGCATCCAGATAGCCTCACGTTAATTTTCTGTTAACTTCCATTTCGTCTCCTGTTAGCATAGTGTTTGCCTCCAGTTAACCCCCTATTAGCCTAAAATTGACCTCCTGTAAAACTTATGTTAGCTTTCTGTCAGCCTCCTTTTAGCCTCATTTTAGCTTCCATACAGCCTCCAGTCAACCTCGACTTAGCCTCCTGTTGATAATCTGTTAGCCTGGGTTAGCTTTCTGTGAGCCTCCTTTCAGCTTCATGTTAGCTCCTGTTAGCCTCCTTTCAGCCTCCTATTTGTTTCTGTAAGCCACATAGCCTCATATTAGCTTGCTCTGAGGCTACGTTTAGCCTAATGTTAGCCTCCGGTTAGCCACATGTTATTCTCCAGTCAGCCTCCAGTTTGCCTCATGTTAGCTTCCTGTTAGCATCCAGTTAATCTCCTGTTAGAATGGGCTCACTATCCTGCTGCAGAATGATTTTTTCTTCAGAAAGATGCACAGCAGAGGCCTGGAAATGTCTTTGATTCATGAAGTGCTGCTTCTCTTTGATATCATGTTGGTGTCCAAACCATCCAGACCTGAATCTTGCCAGCAGCTTGTGGTATTACTCTCACCCTCTTTACAAACTTGCTTGACTTTTAGTTTTGCTTTTGTTCTTGTTTTTCTTTGGATGGTTCTTGTGCTGGGATATTGCTCTTCTTCCAGCTTCTGCAGACTGGGAGTCATCTTGTCAGCCAGTATTTTGGTTTATTCACAGACATTTTTCTATAAATGTCATCTCCCCAACACTTTTTGCACTCATGAAGCCCCATTTCATCATCCTTCCATCTCCATGCGTCACTGTTAGGACTTTACATTCACTGTGGTGGTCAGACTCCACCTGAGCACAACAGATTGTTTTTAGTATCATCTGACCAAAGACTGTTCTCCCAACATTCATCAGGCTTTTTTTTATGGTCTTTAGCAAACTTTCATCTGGAAGTTTTGTTCTGAGAGCAACAAGGTTGTTTCTTGTCCTCCATCCATAGAAGTTGATGTTCTGAGGTGTCCTTCACACTGGCTGAGCTTCACAGAAACTCCGGTTTCCATTGATAACCACTGTGCCTAGTCTGAAGGAGCAGCCGTCTGTTTCTCACGGCTCGATTGTGAAAGTAGTTCACTGTCTGTAGAGTCATTTTAGGAGGACGACCACTGCAGCTCTGATTAGTGGTACCATTGCTCCTTCTGTACCTCCAGATTACTGCTGACACTGTGTTTCACTGATTTTTAGTTGCTCACTGATCTTCCTGGATCATTTTCCATCTTTGTGAAGTCTCACAGTCAGAGTTTTCAGTTCCTCTGTTCAGTTCTTCTCCATGTGGAGCCATGATGCAGACATGCAGATAGACACAGTCCATAGGCCCAAAACTAAGACCTCATTTTAGAACCATGTTCATGCAGTGAGACTGATTGGAAGTCACAGGTGGACTGAGTTTAGTTTCAGTGATCAGACTGATTCACTTTTGGTTCTTTGAGTTTCTACTTTGAGGCCTGAATTTTCAATATTGTCCTGATGAAGAATTAGTTTCTGTTCATCAGAGGAATTAGTCTGACAGGGCAGATTTGTCCGCTCAGACATTTGATAGCAGCAGCAGCAGCAGCAGCAGAACAGTCAGTGAATCAGCAGTTTATCTCTCCATCAGTTCTCGTGTTTCCAGTTACGCTGCTCAGTTTATTTAAATAAACATGTCGACGTGTGAAGAGCTGTTGGGCGTTTTCCTCCGTTCAGTCTGCATCCACTGCAACACTTTCTCAACCCTGAACTCACCAAAACTAACTTTCTTTTAGCATAAATGATCAGATCAACTATATTAACTGACTTCTGTTTGTTGCACCGACTTCATTCTTCACATTCTTAAAATCAGAAACGACTTCAACAGTAGTATTACTATTACGTTCACAGAAATGTTCCATGAATGAACTGTTTCACAATCTCATCCTCATGGTTCTGAGTTAGGAAGTCGACATAGTGAAACAGAAAATCTAGATTTTGAGACAAGTGAAGGTTGTGATGAAGTACACTGAGGTTGTGTATTTATAGAAACGTATCACCTGACGTACAGGTGATGTGGCTCCGCCCCCTTCACTCCCACTCTGTCCACCTGTTCGTCCTCCTTCACTGACTCATCTGCTGCTGGTTCTGTGTCGGAGTTCATGCGTTTTTCAGGGAGGAATGTGGTTTGACCTGGTTGCCTTCATCCTGATGTGACTGAAGCAGGATTCAGAGGTTTTTATGAGCAACTGAAATATCTGTTCAAACTCTGTGACGTTAGAAAAACGGTAAAAACAAAACTGCTTTCATTTACTTAATGTCTGACTGCTACAGGTTTTGTTCAGACTTTCCATCCTTTTCAAATTCATTGTTATTTACTGTTATTTTACAGCTTTTCCTGTTTTGCCAAGAGAACTTATTGGCTGTAAAATTCCACAATTCTTTGACAGTATTTAAATCAGCAAAAAACACTTATTTTACAGATGTGTGCTGCTATTTAAATAGAAAGCTATGTATATTAAGGATACATTTTTAAACCATATTTTAACAGATTTTTATTTATTTATTGTTAAAATCCAGATAACTAGTAAAGAAAAAAGTGTCAATTTACATTTGTGTTAACGATAAAACATCAGGGCAAAACTGGAAACTATGTCCACATCTGTCACCTTTATTTATAGAAAGAGTCGTGTGACCATACAATCAGATGCAGGGAGAATTCCACTGCACAAGGATGTTCTCACAGACATCCATCACAAGGAACCTCCAGAAGCCCACTTAGAAACAGAGAAGACGACAGTTAAGCACTCCGTTGAGAATCTGACAGTTGTCTGAACATTAGTGATTCTCTGCAGACTGAAGCTGTTCTGCTGCTTTAACTAAACACAGTGTGAACAAACAGAGGCTGAAATCTACAGGAATCACGTGGTAACTCACAGAAACGTCCTATTTCTTCTGAAGGTGTCCATCTGTTTCTCGAACACACAGTTAAATTGGCGTATAAGCTCCTATTCCTTACATGCATGTACAAGATGGACTGTGAAAACATGTTTGTAAATCCACACAGGAACAAGAGGAAAATAGAGTCCATAACTCCACAGAGAGCCTGTCTCATTTTAGTTTCCTTCAGTGTCAGTATCCAGTGATGTTGGTCTGTACATTAGGGATTCATTGCAGACAGCAGCTGCTCACACACACGTCTGCTGCTTTCACATTGTCTAGATTTTATCTGAGGGTTTGACTTTTTTGCTGAAAGGTTGCATCCTTCAGGACAGAGGAAATATTTGCAGAAAAGCTTCTCTTTCAGTTATTCTTGTGACTAATCGTAGCAACTGGACTTGCTTGAGTTCCTTGAAGACGTTCCACCTCTCACCCAAGAGGCTTCATCAGTTCTGACTGACTAGTTGGGAGTTCCAGATACTGATATCCTTGAGGAGCCATTAACACCTGAGTTTGGGTTTCAACTGGGAGTTTGTTGCCCCTCTTTCAGTTTGTTTTAAAGGTTTTGGTGAATCCTGGGACACAGAAGCTCAACAAAATCTCCAGCTGGTTTCAGACTTGTGTTTGTGACGTGAGAGTTGACGGACTGTTGTGATGATTCACTGCTACATAGTTCTGGTTACTGAAACAGCTCCAGGGGCTTCAGGGTCCTCGGCTCTACTGTGTGAAGTGACTCACGGTTCTTGTTGGAAAGTCAAAGGGCAAAAGGAGACGCAATAACCACGAAGACATGTCAAATTAACACAAATACGAGGTGTGTCAGAAAAGTTCCAGGACTGGTGTCACAAAAGACACATTTCAAGAGTTTTCCCCTTCAGTCGATCAACCAGCACGTCTACAAAGAGATCCTGTTTGCTTCATTCAGTACATGAGAAGATGCGAGAGTTGTGGCAGGACGAGTTGTGGCTGCTTCACCATGACAACACGACTGCTCACAACGCCCTGAGCATCCCACAGTTCCTGGCTGAGAAGAACATCTCTGTGCTGGAGCAACCTCCCTCCTCACCCCACCTGGCTCTGTGGGATTTTTTTCCTCTTCCCCAAGCTCAAGGGGTCATCAACGGGACCCGTTTAAAAGACGTGGACGACATCAAGATGACTGTTACGACGGAGCTGTGGAGAATCCTGAAGAATCCTTCCAGGAGTGCATGGCGGCGTGGCAGAGAAGGCCGAGGAAGGGTGTTAGACTCCAGGGGGATTACTTCGAAGGGGAAAACTAGTAGTTGTAGTTTGTTTTTTTTAAGCCTACAAGATTTTAACAGGAGCTGAAGTTGAGTTTGCTGAGTTGAGTCTGAGATTATTAAATACAGTCTGTTGTGTTTTGTCTCATCTCTGGTGAGGAACAATGAAGTGACTGAATGCGTCACTTTAACAGATCAATGGAGCAGAAATGTTCCACGTCACCTATATCTCAGTAACGTTCTCTCCTGTCTGTCCTGCAGAATGACGATGGCAGAGGCTGCAGGTCCGGAGCTGTTCTCAGAGCAGGAGTTAACTTGTTCCATCTGCCTGGACCTGTTCAATGATCCCGTGTCCACACCATGTGGCCACAACTTCTGTCAGGTACTTTTCTCCACACCTGAGGCAGTCATGAACTAAAGGCTGTGTTAACACCATTTGTAAATGAATTTGCTATCATTGAACACATCATTTTTTGTTACAAAATCTACACTTTGGTTCTTTTGTGGATTTATTAAAGGTCTTCTGGAAATATGACAAAATCTGGCTTGTCAAAAATGTACAAACAGCTTGAATTATCAGATTTGGTGATGTAGAAAGCTGTGTTTAAAAAATGTTCTTAGTTTCATGGCCTCTTAACTTCTCCTGAGTTATTACAGTTGACTACAGCTGCTGACTCCTCTGAGCCCATTTAAATTGGACCCATTTGATCCACTCATGAGACTCGACCACAAACACTAGAGTGTGAAAGTCTGAGGAGCTCAGCAAAGATCTGAAACAGCAAATCATTTTTATTTATTCTTTTAAAAAAAAATCTTTTGGCTTTTGCCTTTATGCATCAGAGCAGTGGAGAGAGACAGGAAAGGGGGGAGAAGAATGGGGAAAGACCTGCAGCAAATGGCCGTGGTCGGGAGTCAATCCCACGACCGCTGAATCGGAGGACTATAGCCTGTTTGTGGGTCGCCATCTTATCTGGTTGAGCCACTGGGGCTCCCCTGAAACAACAAATCATTGACTTGAGCAATTCAGGAGAGTCACGTGGACCCATTTCAAAGCAGCTACAGGTCACAAAATCATCTGTGAAAAAAATAGTTTGTCAGTATAAAGTGCATGGCACAGTTATGTCACTGTTACGATCAGGAAGAAAACACAAACCATCACCTGCTGCTGAAAGACAGTTGGTCAGGATGGTCAAGAGTCAACCAAGAATCACCAAAAATCAGGTCTGCAATGAATGAGAAGCTGCTGGAACACAGCTGTCAGTGTCCACAGTGTTTTACATCAACATGAGATGAGAGGCTGCATGAAGACAGAAGTTCTTACTCCAGAGGCAGAACCTTAAAGCTTGAGTGAAGTTTGCAGCTGATCACAAGAACAAAGAAAAGACCTTCTGGAGGAAAGTTCTGTTGTCAGATGAAACAAAAACTGAGCTGTTTGGCCACAATGAGGAATATGGAATAGGAATATGTTTGAACTCGAGAGGGTGAGGCCTCTAACCCCAAGAACACCAAACCTACCATCAAGCATGGTGGTGGCAGTATTATGCTCTGGGGCTGTTTTGCTGCCAGTGGAACTGGAGCTTTACACAAAGTAAGTGAAATAATAAAGAAAGAGGAGTACCTCCACATTCTTCAGGAGGACCTTAAAACATCATCCAGAAGGTTGGATCTTGGACACATTCGGGTTCCAACAAGACAGTGACCTCAAACACACATCAAAAGTGGTAGAGACATGGTTCAATCAGGCTAGAATGAAGGTTTTAGACTGGTCTGCCCAAAGTCCTGACTTAAACCCCATCCAGAACCTGTGGACTGTGATGATACATGATTGTTTTTTGTGACAAAGACTGACGTGTTTCAATGATTCCATCATAGAAATTCAATGAAAGGAGTCATTGGAAACTAAAGACTGACATGCTATATATCTTTACATTTGGATGGAAACTTTAGTTTACAGCTGTATATCCTCCACACCGGAGGCCCTCAACTGTAGCTGACCTGCTGTTGTGTCTCTGCAGGCTTGTATCGGTGGTTACTGGGCCTCTAGTCCGGTCTGCACATGTCCTCTGTGCAAGCGTCAGTTCGATGAGCGTCCACAGCTGAGCATCAACAAAGTCTTCGCTCTCATCGCAGATAAATACAAACTTGCTCGTTATGGCGCCGCAGGTTTACCACCACCACCACTCGGTAACGGGACGCCAGGTTCCATGGCAATGTTTGCAGACACTGGGAGCACTAACCCGTTTGTGTCGGTGGCGGCAGCTGGTGAGGAGGTGGTGTGGTGTGATGTGTGCACAGGTGTTAAACAGCCAGCCGTCAGCTCCTGCCTCACCTGCACCGCCTCATACTGCACTGAGCATGTGCAGCCGCATCACACCACACCGTTCTACGCCAAACACCCCCTGATGGACCCCCAGGAGGCCCTGAGGGGCCGCACCTGCTCCATGCACCGCCGCCTGCTGGAGGTGAGCAGAATTACATTATTACTATGATTATTATGACTAATGTTATATTATTGTTGTTCTTGTTTGTTTTAATATTTTAAAAAAAAGACAGAAAAATAGTCATTATTGCACATATTTAATTAAATATATCAATAAAGTAATTATTAAGTTAAAATACATTTTAAAAAGTATGTAATTCTTGGGAAATTGAAATTACTAATTGTAATAAATAATTCTATTACTACTATTATAAATAATAAGCAAACATTTTTATTTTTAGAGTTCAGATCAATCAATACTTTTTGGTGTACTACAGAATATGATGTAGTTTTAGAATAATTTTATTTGTATTTTTAATTAATAATTATTTAAAAATATTTTATAATATATCTGATAATGATTAGTTTTTTAAAACTTATTTTAATATATGTAAACAAAAAATATAGTTAATAAAAAAAACAATTTGACATTTTAATTTCAAGTGTTTCAATCAATCAAAATTTTTCAATTTCTTTGAAAATATAATGTTTTATAATGGATATATTTTGTGTTATTTAACGTACAAAATATTCTTCATATATTTCTAGTAAATATCTGATAAAAAGAACTGTAATACAACCACAATAACATGTAACTGCATTAAACATTAAACCAGTAAAGGTAAAAAAAGAATGATCATGATGGTGTGACTGTTACCTTGTCAGCCTGCTAGCATGATGTGAAAGTACACCAACTTCAAACTAACTAAACGTCTCCTCCTGATGCGTTCACATGTCCAGGTGTACTGCAGGACATGTCAGCGCTGCATCTGTGCCATCTGTGTCCTGGAGGAACATCGTACGCACAAAACTGTCTCGGTCCAAACCGAGAGACTTGGCAAACAGGTAGAAAGAGAACAGGATCCAGTTTTGGTCTGGTTCTGATGGAACGTTTGTGTTCAAGCTGCTGTGTGCCTGCGTGTTCAGAAACAGGTGGCGAGAACAGAACAGGAGATCCTGAACCGGATCAAAGAGAAGGAGATCCGAGTGACTGAGCTGAAGAGGAAACTGGAGGGAGTCCAGGTCAGACATCTTTTGTCACTGTAACACAATATGATTACAAAGAGATACAAACAACCACAATAAGAAAGTGTATGTATGTGTGCGTTGTTGTTCTGCAGCTGTTTTTACATTTCGACCTGATCAGTTGTGTTTGTGCCGCAGAACTACGCAGACAGAGAGCGTGGTGAGGTTGAACACCTGCTGGACGAAGTCTCCGCCTCCCTGGACAGGATTCGGTCTCAGGTGGTGGGCGGGATCCAGAACCAGCTGGACGCCGTGATGTCAAAGGGGGAGGGGCTGGTGAACCGTCTGGAGGCGGAGCTTGAACAGCTGACGGACAGGAGGGCCACGCTGGAGGTGCAGGCCATCAGTCAAGATCACATCGGGTTCCTGCAGGTAAGAACTAAGCACCTGTTGGTTCTAATGTCAGGAACCTGCAGAGTAACACCTGTAACGACACCTTAAAGTACACCTCTAACACCTGTAACAACACCCGTAGTAACATCTCTAACAGCACCTATACCAAAACCTATAACACCTGCAATAATGCCTGAAACAATACCTGTCATAGCACCTGTAACAACACCTCAAACACCTGTAGTAACACCTGTAACAGCACCTGTAGCAAAATTTGTGACAGCCCCTGTAACACCTGTAGCAACAACACCTGTAGTCACAACACCTGTAGTAACACCTATCCTCCTCCTGCTGTTCTTCTCCTGTTTTCCCTCTGTTCTCTTCCTGTTCTCTTCCTGTTCTCAGAGTTTTGAGGAGGCCACAGCTCCTCTGTCCGATGAGCAGCAGGAGGAGGTGGACGAGCAGTCAGAGTTCCAGCTTCACTTCCATCTGGGAGACGTAAAGAGCAGTTTGTCCGAAGTCAAAGACAAGATGGACGACATCCGCATGGGGGAGGTTCGCTCCCGGGGCTCCAGAGGCTCTTGTAGGTCCAGATGTTACCTTCAAGATGTGTCTGCAGTGTGCAGATGTTAGATTAGAGATATGTCTGTAGTTTAAAGATCTAAATTTACAGGTGTTAGTTTACGGATGTTAAGTTGTAGATGTTAGATTACAGATGTTAGGTTACAGATGTGTCTGTAGTTTTCAGATGTTGGTTTCCAGATGTTTCCTCAAAGTGTGAACCATCTGTGTGTCGCCTATGTTGTAGTTTCGTCAGGTGACCTGATGGCGGCAGAGAGCATGCTCAGTCTGAGAGGAAGCTCAGCCAGTCTGAGGAAGAGTCAGTGGTCTCTGAAAGGTGAGTCTGAGTTTAACATGTGCAGCAGGAATCTGAGACCCTGAGGATGAACGTCAGTCTGACTGTGTCTGTGGTTGTGTTGATGCTCCTACAGTAGCTGTGATCAAGCAGACCGACAGCACTGTGAGAACTTCATCCCATTAAACAAAGCAACATTCAGCAATTTTAATGTTCAGTTAAGGCTCAACAAAAAATCAAGATGCAGATTTTAACAAACAGTTTCTGTGATAAAGTTACAGGGATTGTTTCCCCTCAGAAACATTCATCAGAGTACATTATTATTCTTGAATCAACCTCTGCTGAGGCTGACAGAAGCTCAGCTGTGCAGGTGTTTGCGAAGTTAAAGATGCAGGTATCTGAGTTTCTTCTGCAGGACTGTGACAGTTACTAACTGTGGCTTCATGTCTCCCCTCAGATCTGAAGAAGCACAAACAGGTGTCAGGTACGTTCCTGTCTGACACTTCAAACTGGAGCTTTATAGTCAAACTTCTCTTTAAGGAGGATTCAGACCATTTCATGCAGTAAAAATACTCCTCTGACCAATATATAACCTTAAAATACTTATAAATATACAATAATTCAATTATTCTATATGCATTCATGTGTAAACAGATTTTTTTTTTTACTTGAGTGAATGTACTCTGTGTCTCATCTGAACATGTTTGTAATAATAAAACGTTATCATGACGCTTGTTGTGTTGCAGGACACAAGAAGGCTCGAGTCTACATGGGTGAGCTTTAACTCTCATCATTTTGTTTTAATTTGTTGTTTTTTGTTATGCAGCATAATTGGATTGGAGCAAATAATCATATATATATATATATATATGTATGTCATTCTCACTGTGTCCTACTGACAAAAGACATTTCTGACACTCTGTGGTTCTGGTTGACGCTTTGGTTTCTTCATGTTTCAGAGGACGTGACGTTGAATCCGGTGACGGCGTATCCTTTCCTGATCCTGTCTGAGGACAGGAAGCAGGTGAAGAGAGGAGAGAAGCTGCAGTTCTACAGAAACAGCCAGCAGAGGTTTGACGTCTGGTCCTGCGTCATCGCCAAGGAGGGCTTCAGCACCGGACGCCACTACTGGGAGGTCAGGTTTATGATCAGGACTAAGATCAGTATCAGGTTCAAAATCAAGATCAGGAACAGTTTTAAGATCAGAACCAGGTTTGAGATCAGGATCAGGTTTAGGATCAGGAACAGGATTGGATTTAAGATCAGGACTTGAGGCCTGTACTATGAAACAGGATTTAGGGTCAGCGAGGTAACATCAGGTTTAACTCTGCAAGCCTGACTGTGTCAAAGTTGGGTTGTAGTACAGTTCATAGGTTTGATTTCAGTTTAAACTACGGTTAAGGATCAGATTCAGGTTGAGTTTTATGTTTAGGTTCAGGATTATGTTTAGTTTCAGGACCTGGACCAGGTTCATGATAAGGTTCAGGTGGTCCCGGCTCACCTGTGTGTGTTTGCAGGTGTTTGTGGGCGAGAGTAAGGATTGGAAGCTGGGCGTGGTCACCGAGTCTGCTCAGAGGAAAGGTCTGTTCGACATGAGTCCCAGTAACGGATACTACGCTCTCTGGTGGAGCGGCAGCCATCTGCGAGCGCTCACCACACCGCCTCTAACCAAGGTCTGCCTTCAGCTGCTTTATATGAGCTTTTTAATGACAACGTAATCAAAAATTGTCAGTTTCAAGTCATCAAGACGTCATAACACAGGTTTACCATTGTGTGTCTGCTTGCAGTTATTGTTTTCTCCAACAATAAATAGCATCAGAAACATGAATCACTGTGATTAAAATCTCATGATTAAATGATAAAACTGTTTTTCTTTTTAGTTTGTTTGCTTTAATTGCCGTTAACATTCACATCAACATAAGACTGTACAATTTGGACAGTTTAAGTTATAATTTAAATCCATTAATTAAATTCAACATGTCAGTTTGACTTTATATAAATAGCATTTGTTCAGTTATATTCTGCACCTGGAGACTCAACCTAAAACTACTTGTGGGACCTGCAGGTGAAGAGTCCTCCAAAGCTGCGACAGGTGGGCATCTTCCTGGACGTGGACGAGGGTCAGGTGTCCTTCTACAACATCAAGTCGGGCTCAGAGATCTACAGCTTCAACGGATCCTCCGAGTTCACCGAGAGGATGTTTCCTCTGCTGGGCACCGGAGACAAGGAGGTTCCTCTGATCCTCATGACCACACAGCACCACCTGGCCTGAGGAACTGGACCAGGACCACAAGGTCATACCGGAGTACAGGATGGATGGTGGGAGGAGGAAGAGGAAGGAGGCTGATGAAGCACGAGGATGTGTTTTGACAGAAACTGAATCTCACCGTGACATAAAAACAATCCTCAGTTTCTGTTGGTCAAGAAAAAAACGTCTCCTTTTCACACAGCAAAATATTTTTCCCGTTATTACCCTGAATGTTCATGAACGTGGCAGAGGGAAAATTTTGTGATATAAAAACAGCAAACAATTACTATCAGTTTGCCCATCTTACTGACACTGTTTATAGTTTACAGTTTAACCTCTAACATGTGAGAAAACAGTGAAGATCATGTTTTTATGTGTTTTTTTTCCGTCACAAAACCAAACAGACCAAACCAAAAATGTGTAAATTTTTAGGCAGTATTTGTCAGCTCTGCATACTAATTATCTGTCAATCGTTAATCAAAAATCACTGCAGCTCTAATAAAAAGAAGCAATGTGCTGTAACAATACGTGTAAATATGGTAATAGCAAGAAAGTAATGTATTAATGTCATGAAAAGTATCTTAATATAACATTAAAAGTTTGGTTTTAAAAGATAAAATGAACAAAAGGTTTCATGTGGAAGAAAAAAAATACTTGTGAAAGCTAAAATCAGCTCCTCGCTAAAACTGAGCAAGCAAACCTGCTTTTTTGTAAATGAACACTGAACTTGTGTAAAAAATATTTAGTATTTATAGAGAGACAATGAGTGTCTATGCCTTCTGCCAAAAAAAAAGTTATGTTAAGAATATAAATATAATAATTATGGGGAAATATTTGGACTTACTCTTTCAAAAACTGAGATTAAATCGTGCTATTTCAAACTCATAACATGCTAAAAGAATCTTCAGTCACAACTATTAGATAACAGCAAAACTTTTACATTGAAACAGAAATATTACATCAAAACATTCAATGTACTTTCTCAAAGTTTTGATTTAATGTTCTCATAAATCCTGCAAAGTTCCAATTTATTGTTTTCGTCAACAATTCTTTTGTCTCTTGGCACAAAAAGGCCTCTGTAGTTTTTCCCATTCACTTCAATACAGTCAAAGTCTGACCACAGCACCGTCTAGTGGACACGAGAGGAACTGCAGCTGGATTTACAGGTTTCACCATCAGAGGCTTTGAGTCAGAAGATTCATCGGTGATTGTTCTCAACACATAAAATTGATTGTTAAAATGTTTCATACAATAAAAACAAAGTATTTGCAGCGTCTCTGAGGTTGGATTAAACACAGTTGTCACTTTGGGGAACTAACAACCATTTTGGTGGTAAAGCTCATTACAATTTTCATTGCAGTTTTTACTGTGTTTTTCTATAGACTGTACAGTGTAAAGAATGGTCAGAAATGGAAACAAAAGCAATAAAAGCAAAATTATTAAATAATGTGAATCTGAGTTTCTTGAATTTTGATTCAGTGTTTCTGTAGTTTGTGTCTTTGCCCATAGAGGACAGTGTTTCTGTAGTT